ACCTGACAATAATCGAGAAGAGTCTGTATTTCGTTCCCCTGCCCATTTCTCTTTTGCCGAGTTGCAATCACAGAGCTCGAAAGAAAGACAAATTACGGAGAAGAAAGAGCTTGTTAACCGCGTAAAATTGAATCTACGATTGAGTAAATCGAACCGAGTCGCGTCTCCTTACAGTCTGTCCCGTTCTGGCGATTCTTTCCAGATTCTCAGAGATGCTACAGAGAAGAGACAGCTTCCAGTATTGAAAAGTATCGGGATTGGTTCGACAGTCAGCTTCCAAGCGATTCGTTCTCGTTATCGACTTCGTTTCTTCCGGGTAATTTAATCTGCTAGTGTCAGCGTTGCGTCGCCCCGAAATTATCTACTCTTTCGGGCATTCCTATTATTAACCCTCGGACGTTGAATGATCTGGGACTGACGCGGCGGACGATTGCAGAGTCAATTTGACTTGTAGTAAAATTTCCATTGTACGTGGATTCAACGAGGACTTAAGCGTAAAATTTTATATATATTTTCATGTTTATACGTTACATATAATTACAAATAATAGAGCAACAACTACCGATGAGTAAAAATGACCCTGCATTCGTTGTTCGAGGGTTATAACGTTGCTCGCGAAAATCACCCCCACAAAGTAGTTGTTTTATCTAACGTAATCTATGAATAAAAGAAGGAAGCATCGAAGGAACAAGTGCCACGAGAGATCGGGGGAATCGAGAACGGTGCAAGGAAGAGAAATGTTTTATCGCGGGGCAGTTATGGCTCGATTGAAACGATTACACGAGTCGTGTCTCGGGGCTGTCATTATTTTCCAGTCGAGAAAAGAAAGGAAAAAGGAAGATAATATGGAAGAGACGAAACGAGAAGTGGTACGGATGAAAAAGGGGGTGCTCGAAGCTAGAAGTCGCAAGATCGAGTTTGAAAGGAAGTCGTGGCCCGCGGCAGGCGGCACGTCATTCTCCTCGATGAATTAAATTTTTATATCCTTCGCTGAGAGTTTGAACGATAGGAAAAGTTCCAAGAGGTTTTCCGAGCTGACGCGGACTTTTAATTCGATAGCCGTGTCCCGGTTAAATGAATTCTAATCGACCTAGGTCGAATCGGGTTGCTAGTTTTCGCGTGTCTTTGCTGAAGCAGGACGTTATCATCATCGAACAATGAAAAATGTATGGGAAGGGGCAATTTCGGTCCCGTGGAATAAAGAAGACACAAGGTACGTATCCGGAAACGAGTCGATTACTGGTAAAATTTCACGAACAAACGATTTTTGGATGACCTATTGGACCAAAGAATTGTCTAAACAACTTGCCACGAAATTTCAAATCAAATCAGCAATAATCAATATTGAAAAGTGAGTGGAAAGAAATATTTCTTGTATATTCAGACAGTCGGAATCGGATCTGCACCGAATACGTTGTAATTTTCCACTTTCTATTCGATCTAAGCTAATTAATTTGCTTCCAATTAATTACCGACAATTGCTCTCGCTCTAATTACACTCGGTCGATTAGAATCTACGAAAGTTTACGGCCGAACGGGGCGATCTCAACGTCTTGGGTTTTGCATGTGATTTCTCCCTAATGATACCACTTTGGCTTGCCTCGCCTTACGTTACCTATTCCCTGTACCAGCTCCGAACCACAGAGCAAGCCATCAGTCCACCAAATTCCGTTTAAAGGACAATTATCACTGTCAGCGAAAACGCAAGAAAAATTGAATCCTATCTCCATGTCACTAAATTTCTTTTCGACTCAATTACTTCGACTAATTAAATGGCTAGCACCTCGTTAACGCGCGTAGACTCGGCTCTCGAAGAGCGTTGTTCCACGGGATGCACGATTCAACGAAATGAAAATCAAAGGAAACTTGAACCCATAGGTCGTTGATCGATTGGCAGACTTCGGGGCTGTGTAGAGGGGAGCAAGTAGGACCCTTTGAAAATCCAGTTGAAAATGTCAGCGGATAATAGGTACTAAAACTTTTCTAAACAACACATCGATCAAATTAATCCGAAAGTATGCAAAGCGACTGTTGTTTGCCCGAACGATTTCACTCGTCTAACGATAATCGACGATTATTTGCCCCATACCGATACGGAATCATCCGACGCTATCGAACACTTATGCAAACGATCGAAAGGTCCCGATCCGATTAAAAATAAGTATCCACATCCACCAAACGAACCAACCCAGAGTCCATCCATTCGAAAATGAAAAAACCTGTCGTAAAAACATGTTCCTTTTCGAACTGTTTCTCAAGCAAAATCTCTAAAACACGAGGAAAAGACATAAAATACCATCGGAGATGGGAAACCTCGACGAAGCTCACAAACGGATTTTCGTTCGCATTGCAAGACAGAGACGGGGGCCCCGAGAAGCCTAGAAGATGAAGGCAGCTTTGTACAAACGATATCGGTAAGCGGAAATCAGTGGTTGGGTGGCGCCTCCGCCCTCTGCCCTTAAGGGCTCTTTTCGTTCGCGCTCCTGGAATCGCGTCTCCGACGTCGGTCTTCTGCCCGCTACCAGGAACTTGCTAACTTCATTAAAATATTGCCATCAACACCGAGATTCATTGTCTTGGGCCAACGAGGCCCACGCTCTGACCGGCCGATTAAACCTGCTCATCCCTCCCTGTCAGAGAACAGTAGCTGCATGTTCTTTGTATATATATATATATACATATATACACGCAGGCTTTACACTGACGAGCAAACTCGACTACTACTAGGAGAAAAAGTGACATAGAGGAAGGGGCCTTGCTCCTACCACTTGGTATTGAGAATTACTGAAATTTATACCAAATTAACATCCGATTTAACATTTATTTCAGTACCTGAAATTAATTTACCAAATGGTAGGAGGACCTTCTCTCCCGCTAGGGGAAAAAGTTGTAAAGGAAAGACCTCCTACCACTTGATCTTAGAGTTACTGAAATTTATGCCTCATTAACGTTCGGTTTAACATTCATTTCAGTACCTGAAATCAATTTACCAAGTGGTAGGAAGCCCTTCTCTTCCGCTAGGGGAAAAACTGATGTAAAGGAAAGACCTCCTACCACTTGGTCTCGAAATTACTGAAATTTATGCTAAATTAACGTTCGGTTTAACATTTATTTCAGTATTTGAAATAAATTTATGAAATAGCAGGAGGCCCTTATCTCTACATTGCTTTTTCCCCTAGAGGAAGCCGAGTTTGCTCGTCAGTGTACTTAGACGGTGCTCGGTTGAGTGACGCGAGACACGAGTCTCGCTTCTTTTCGAGGCGACACCGCGCACGGACCACGCACGGACCACGCACGACGTACGAAGAAGCAGCTCGATCCTGGTCCCGAAGTTTTTTTGCGGCACACATAATTGAGCCTGTCTCGTCGAGCTACCGTCTAAATGAATTACGAGGCGGCGTGCACGCCGCGACTATCCCTCCTCGCCAATTATACTGCCCATCCTTGTCTTTCTACTCCCTCTGGTCTGTCTCGCACATTTTTACTCTCCTTGAAATGCGAACGGAGGCTCGCGAACCTTTACAAATTGCCGCTCTCATCTGTACGTGTCTGCACTTTGCTCTCTGAAACGGATTAATCGGCATGGAAGAAGATGCGATAGCAATTGGAAGTGGTTTAATCGAAACACGGAAGCCGAATAAATTCTTATGCCTAAGTTCAACGTCGTATAGTGCGTCTCTCCAATGTTTCGAAAGCCTTCAGATAGTTTCTACGATTTCTTTGATTCGATATTGCGCAGAAACAATTCCCAATTACATTATTGTTAACTAAAACTTACGGTTTCGTACGGAAGCATAGACACGGTCAGCCAAATCTCAGAGCTAACTCAATAATAAATTAAATAGTTGAGAAATTCGACTTCGAATTACGCTCCGTTGCTCTGACTATTAAATTTCCCTGGCGAACGAAAAGCTACCTGCAAAACGTGGTTCGGAAATATTTCAGATGATTGTGTTTCGAATTTTTCAGAAGATTCTGTATTAACCAATTAACTTACAACATCGAGTCACGTGGTGAGGATTTCAAACTGGATTTCATAAATATGAATGTTATTCATTTCCTCTAGGTCGAAGTGAAATACTGTTTTGTTGCTATTAACATTTAACATTTAAATGTACACTTGCAATAAGAATGGAATTCCTTTTGTATCAGTTAAATGTTAAATAATTAACAATACAGCAATTCTAGAGAGTGAAGTTGTCAGAAGAATGTTAAGACAAGGTTAGAGGTTAATACGAAACACTGAACAAATCGTGCGAAAAGTGACACGGTGGCGTTATCTCGCAATATACAATGAACTAGAAAATTAGAAAAATGCAAATACCTCGGTAATTAACTGTTGCAAATTAACTTCATCAGTCTCCAATCGTTCTTTATGATCCCACATGTCACACGCATTCCATACGACACAACACTACATTATAAATGCGTTTTACAAGATTTCAAAAAAGGTTTGCTAACCGGACACGGAACTAGTATAGCCATCTATCGACGACACGATGAAACATTTGTGCTAATAATAAACAAATTTCTGCTTTATCGGTAACGTCAGATATGGACACTAAAATGGCAAGGGCGCTGCACAGCCCCCGGACCGTGATCAGAAAAAAGCATTGAATGATAAATCTATACTATATTTAGTCGATGATTTTAGTGCAATGCGTCTCCGCAATTTTTTTTCAGAATTAGATTCCGATCATCACCGATCATTTTCGATGGGCAAATACAACAGTTGTTCCAGTTTGAGAACAGTTTGTTGTTTTCATTTTATAAGTAGAAATAAACGCTGCTGATGTTCATGGTATTGTTCATTGCACAAATAAATGTAAGCATCGATCACATGTACGTATAAGTTTTAAGTTATACCGTAAGACGTGAGAGGTTACCATTAACTTCGCGTGATTAAACAGTAAACGTTGGTGTACAATTTAATCTCGCATGTTTCAGAAAATGTGGTTTATTACAATTGATTAATCTTGTTTCGGACGTAATTTTCACGTCATCCAATTATACATACACAAGATACTTGTAATACATGCTATAAAAATGGACGAGGTTACAAAGTTAGAACACTTGTCCTTAGTGTCGAAAATCTGCACGGAATTGGAGAACCATTTAGGCTTAAATGACAAAGACTTAGGTAAAAGTAAAAAAGCAAGATATCTGTAGCCAGTCCAATATGTATTTTCATAGCCCGTTATGTCTTTTTCAGCTGAATTTATCATTCATTTAGCAGAGAAAAATAATACTGTTGATAAATTCAAGAAAGTTTTGGTCGAAAATGGTGCAGAATTTTCTGTGAGTAATTGATAAAGCTCAATTTGCATTCTGTCTGTACATATTGTAATATTTTGTTATTCCTTCAGGAATCGTTTATGGCTAATCTTTTAAGGATAATACAACACATGAAACCATCTAAGGCAACACAAGAGAAACTGACTAAATCTACGACTAAACAAGATGAATTAGCACAAAAGTTTCCTGGCCTGGCTTTACCCAATGATGAACAAAATGTGACAAGTACCAAAGAGTTGACAGATGAGAATATAGTTAGCAACGCTATGGCAAGCTTAGAAGAACTGGCACCATCTCACAAAAAGTCCGGTGGTGAGAGTAAAAAACCTGCTACCGACATTCAGCCTCTGGAAGACGACAAAAAGAGCAAGCATTCTAGGAGAAGCAGGTCAAAAGACAGAAGGAGACACAGATCCCGTTCGTCGAATCGTAAAGATCGAAGACATAGATCTAAATCGAATTCGAGGTCGCGCGATCGTTCGAGATCGAGGGACAGAAAGCGTCACAGATCGAAGGATCGGAGACGATCCAGCAGATCACGGGACAGAAAGTCTCGTGATCATAAAGATAGGCATTCCGGCAGACATGGTTCCGATAGGTCCAGGTCAAGGTCCGTGGAAGAACTCTGTGTGGATCCAGAAGTCGGGAAAATTTATTCCGGCAAGGTTGCCAACATCGTCCCTTTCGGTTGTTTCGTGCAACTCGAAGGGTTGAAACGCAGATGGGAAGGACTCGTTCATATTTCACAATTGAGGAGAGAGGGAAGGGTCGCTAGCGCAAGCGACGTGGTGTCTAGGGGTCAGAAAGTCCTTGTAAAAGTACTAAATATAGGCGGACAAAAGGTACCAGACAGTATATAAAATGATAAATATTGCATTTTAAACAATGTTGAAATTTCACTTACTCAGAATGGAATACTTTCAGGTCTCCTTGAGCATGAAAGACGTCGACCAAGAGACAGGCAGGGATTTGAATCCAGTCGTGGCTGTTACTAAAACCGAGGAAGATGAGAAGCATTTGCGCAACCCTGACAGACCGACTTCGTTGCTGGAGCTTCAAGGCAACTGGGACGAAGATGAAACCTGTTCCAGGAAGCGTGTACAAAGATTGTCGTCCCCTGAGAAGTGGGAGATAAAACAGATGCTTGCCGCCTCGTGTATCGATAGAAACGAGTTACCAGAATTCGACATGGAAACTGGAATTCTTCCACGGGAAGACGACGAAGAGGAGGACGTGGAGATCGAGCTGGTGGAGGAAGAACCGCCGTTCCTGCACGGGCACGGACGGGCGCTTGGCGATCTGAGTCCTGTTCGTATAGTAAAGAATCCTGATGGTTCTCTGGCACAGGCTGCAATGATGCAGAGCGCACTGGCGAAGGAAAGGAGAGAGCAGAAAATGTTACAAAGAGAGCAAGAAATGGACTCTGTTCCTACTGGGCTGAACAAGAATTGGATTGACCCTCTACCGGAAGGTAATCTCTTATATATTCCCATAAAACCTATTAATATACTACATCCTATATATCTTATCAATTATATCAAATCTTTATACACTCGCAGCCGAAAGCAGAACACTGGCAGCGAATATGCGTGGGATCGGTCTACAAACTCAAGATCTACCCGAGTGGAAGAAACACGTGATTGGCGGAAAGAAGTCGTCCTTCGGAAAGAAAACGAACCTAACCTTGCTGGAGCAGCGGCAAAGCTTGCCGATATACAAGCTCAGGGATGATTTAGTGAAAGCCGTGACGGACAATCAGATTTTAATTGTAATCGGCGAAACGGGATCGGGAAAAACCACGCAGATTACACAGTACTTGGCAGAGGCTGGATTCACGGCCCGCGGTAAGATTGGCTGCACTCAGCCCAGGAGAGTGGCCGCCATGTCTGTTGCCAAGAGAGTGGCCGAAGAATTTGGTTGTCGTTTGGGACAGGAGGTGGGCTACACCATTCGTTTCGAGGACTGTACGGGTCCGGAGACTAATATAAAGTACATGACTGACGGTATGTTGCTTCGGGAGTGTCTGATGGACCTCGATTTGAAGACGTACTCCGTCATAATGTTGGACGAGGCACACGAACGCACGATACACACCGATGTCCTGTTTGGACTGCTGAAACAAGCGGTGGGAAGACGACCTGACCTGAAGCTTATCGTAACCAGCGCCACTCTGGATGCCGTGAAGTTCTCGCAGTACTTCTTCGAGGCTCCTATATTCACTATTCCCGGCAGAACATTCGAAGTAGAAGTTATGTACACAAAAGAACCGGAAACAGATTACCTGGACGCTGCACTTATCACCGTGATGCAGATACATTTGCGGGAACCACCAGGGGATATTCTACTGTTCTTGACCGGTCAAGAGGAAATCGACACGGCCTGTGAAATTTTATACGAACGAATGAAATCTCTTGGTCCCGACGTGCCGGAATTGATCATTTTGCCGGTATACTCGGCGCTGCCATCGGAGATGCAAACTAGAATATTCGAGCCAGCACCACCTGGCTCGAGGAAAGTAGTGATAGCCACGAATATAGCGGAAACGAGCTTGACCATCGACGGTATTTATTACGTGGTTGATCCAGGCTTCGTGAAGCAGAAAGTGTACAACTCCAAGACAGGAATGGACAGCCTCATAGTGACACCGATCAGCCAGGCAGCTGCTAAGCAAAGAGCCGGAAGAGCTGGCAGGACTGGGCCTGGAAAATGTTACAGACTTTACACAGAAAGAGCCTATAGAGATGAAATGTTACCCACCCCGGTTCCAGAAATTCAACGCACCAACTTAGCTACTACTGTGCTGCAGCTGAAGACGATGGGCATCAATGATTTACTGCACTTCGATTTCATGGACGCCCCGCCTGTGGAGTCGCTGATCATGGCTTTAGAATCTCTGCACAGTTTAAGCGCATTAGATAACGAGGGTCTGTTGACCAGGTTAGGTAGACGAATGGCAGAATTCCCCCTGGAACCTAACCTCTCCAAGATGCTGATCATGAGTGTGCATCTTCAGTGTTCCGATGAAATACTGACAATTGTCAGCATGCTGTCTGTGCAGAATGTTTTCTACAGACCGAAAGATAAACAAGCTTTGGCTGATCAAAAGAAGGCCAAGTTCAATCAGGCAGAGGGCGACCATTTAACTTTGTTGGCGGTCTACAATTCTTGGAGAAACAACAAATTCAGCAATGCCTGGTGCTATGAAAATTTTGTGCAGATTAGGACATTGAAGCGAGCACAGGATGTTCGCAAACAATTGTTAGGTATCATGGATAGACACAAGTTGGATGTTGTGTCTGCTGGCAAGAACACAGTGAGAATTCAGAAAGCTGTGTGTTCGGGCTTCTTCAGAAATGCTGCCAAAAAGGATCCTCAAGAAGGGTACAGAACATTAGTTGACAGCCAAGTGGTTTACATCCATCCTAGCAGTGCCTTATTTAATAGGCAACCAGAATGGGTAAGTGAATTGAGAAGAGAATTAATAGTGTTACAATAAAAGATATAATTAACTCGTCCGTCATTCTGCTATTAGGTTATCTACCATGAGCTAGTACAGACCACTAAAGAATATATGAGAGAAGTAACGACCATTGATCCAAAATGGCTGGTAGAGTTCGCTCCAGCATTCTTCAAGTTCAGCGATCCGACCAAGCTCAGTAAGTTCAAGAAGAACCAACGACTGGAGCCACTTTATAATAAATACGAGGAACCGAATGCTTGGCGAATATCTAGAGTCCGTAGAAGACGCAATTAATGCGTTTATTACGTATTCTGTAAATAGTTTTGTACAAAGTTTCGTATTGCACGACAGTACGAATGAGTGTAATTAATGTTGAACGAAATCTAAAGTCAGAGGTATAGTATTACTTCCTTGCTTCGCTTACTATATTTGTGTATAATACAAAAACGAATGATTTACTTTAGTATTGAACAGAACTGTGTGATACATTTAACATTTAAATCATACTATACTATATTTACACTAACGTTTCAGTAACTTGGTCTTTTACATAATAAAGTAAATTGTAACGTGTATATAGAATAATTCATAGTTCATATAAATATATGATTTTAAATTGGAGAATTGATAAAACTTCGAAAAATATGTGAGACGGACGACATTCTCATTTTAACGAATACGGATATCGATATATGCTAAAAGAATAGAAAAGTTATTATGTCCTTTGGCATTATGTTATATACTGTTCTCCACGAGTTCGAAAAGTGAAATATATACTCGATTCGACAGACGACACTGGTACACAAGTGGAACGTTAATCTGAAAGAACAGGAAAATGTTCAATCATGATAATCTGTCAGTCTTCTCCTCTTAATTAATTATTAAATTTATTAAATAAATACATTCTCCGGAAACATTTAATAATGAAATTATGTTTAGTATCCCCCTTCGAGTATAAAGTTTCATCGCTTTTAATGCAATTATATTTCGAATATCATTTCTGTATAAGAGAATCCTTTAAGAAATCTGCAACTGATTCAATATGAAATGTTGTAGAACAGCCATGAAACATTCATTTTCATGAGATATAAATTGAATACTATTTCCGAACTTGATTGTATGGACTATACGTTTCGTCGAAGGAACATCTTGTACACATGGCAGGCTATTAAGTCTGTTGCTTCTTCTTCACTAAATCCACCAATTGCCTAAACCTCGCTTGGCACTCGTCCTTTAAAACATGTAAAAAAAATAAATAAATAAAAGAATCGGGAAATTTTCTTAAAAGTTAATCGTATCTCAACATACGAATACTATACCTTTGTTTTCCCTTCAACGCAACTCGCTATTTTCTCCCACTTATCTACAGACGTGCCCTTAAAATACTTTCCAAGCGCTGCTTCCAACGCTTTCTGTTGCTCTTGACTCCACTCGGTGCCATTATCCACGTTATCATTATTCTTGATGCGTGTCTTCGTTTTCTTCGAACGTTCATCCGTCAGAGTCTCCTCGGTGGTAGAGCCAGGCTTCAAGCCTTCATCTTTCACCTGTTAAAAATGTACATTGCAAAGCAGTTGTTCATTCAGCAGGTATTCAGCAGCTACTCAATCAAAATAGAAACCTTCTTCGCCATATATGTTACATCCGCAATGGTACGATTCATTGCATCCGCAATCTTGTCCCATCGCTCCGATGTGCCAGTGGGATATTTTTTCACAAGCTTGATCAGTTCCAATATATCATCATCGGTCCACAATCCCCCACCAGTCGGAGCAGGCTTCTGATAGACATGATTAGTCTGATCACAGTCCTTTCGTGTAACTTCCTTGTAATTGTTACTGCTTCTTTCTTGCGGCGTGAAAGCAGGTCTACGTCTTCTAGTCCGAGATACAGGTTCCGGTGGTTCCAGCGGTTCAATCTCCTGTGCTCTGAAATGGTATACATAGAAATTCTAAGAACAAAAGGGGGAAATAATAACAATAAAAGGAAAACATTTCGGCCCGAAATCAAACGTTCTCCACTCACGATGCCTCCTCCTCTTCTTTTTTCCTACGTTTTCTTTCTTCCACGGCGTCGCGCATCGCGCGAATGAGACTGGGTATGGATAACGTAAACGATATTATCCATCGTGGAAACTGGAATGGAAGAGTATTCCAAATGCTCGGAGTAGGAATCTTCTCCAAGATGTCTGCTAAATCCGGCACATCCATCTTCCCTTTTTTATTCTTCTTCTGCATCTTCTGAAGCTTACTCCCTAATACTTGCTCCTGCAACATGTACACGATTGCTTTCCCAATACGTTGACGAGTTTCTCTTCGATATTACAGACTTATTACGTACATATGTATACCGTTTCTCGAAATATGCACCCCACGCCACCAAATATTGTCCGACCGTAAAGACTAAGAATAAAATTATGCTTAATTCTACAAGACCCATTTTCCGCACATGGCGGTAATAATACACAGCCGACCGCCAATTCGGCAGTCCATTGACCAGCACATTATCGTACCGTTGCCGCCTCCCAGGATCTTTCAGTACATCGTACACAGCGACTAGCTGCAACAGAGGATGATCCAATGCTTTAATTTCTTCGTTTCCGAAGACTTCACTATTCTTCGACTCACCTTTCTAAACTGCTGTTCTGCATCCTCTGCAGGATTCTTATCCGGATGTAACTGAAGGGACAACCTCCTAAATGCCTTTTTAATCTCAGAGGCATTCGCAACCTAAAAAGCGTGTGAATGTTTTATATGCAGTTATTTAATAAGCTCTCTAGAACCAATTATTAATAGCCTAGAACAAAAGTGTTTCATTGAAAAAGGAAACAGACCTGTGGAACACCAAGGACTTCGTAGAAATTTTGATTGACCTCCTCGACGACGTCGAACACTTCCAATTCGTCATTGTCCCAGGCGTTCGTGAATTTGTATAAATCGAGAAAGGAAAAAACCCCAAGAATCACTAATGACAGTCTCATTTTCTTGTTTTCTTTGCTACGTGCGCACAATCATATCCGTCGATAAGTTTCCTGTCGATTGATACAAAGATCGTTTACGCTCGGATCATCGTTTTCCGTTCGAACGAGTCCGTCTCCTGAAGAAACGAAGCGGAATATGTTAAGACGGAAGGTGCCACATCGTAAGCATTTAAGAGGTTACGTACACGAATATCTATTTGAAACGTAGGCCGTGTGCCCCGTGTACAGCGGATGCATCCAATAGCACAGACGACAAAAAGAATAGACGGACAGCCAAACATCTCAAGTGTCTTCGTGTCGCGTGTTCTGTAATACCGATCGGAGTAAAAAAATCAGAGATTTTTCTGCTGCCCGCTATGGTATGAGAACAATGAATCGGGAATTAAATATCCAATATGATTTGGCGGGAAGAACAAAATTATTAATAACTCAGCGATTAATTTGTAAATCGTTAATTAATGAGACAGACGAGGTATTCGAATGAGAACCTCTCATCCAATGCATTGTCGTTGTATTCGTGGATAGATTTTTATTGGATTGGTGGGATTTTTATCGGGTAATTTTTAGAATATTGATACTAATTTATGAACCGAGATTATGGTTTCACAAGTTTCGAGGTTGTTGATACAAGAATAAATTAAAATATTACTTTTATTAAGAAAATTAATTACGTACTTATTATTGTACTTATTTATACAGATTTCTTTAAGAAGACATAAAATAATACGAATTAGGAGGAAGATGGTGATGGGATTAATGAACAACGCGTATGTACCGTTTTATTGTCTTTTATAGGACAAGTTACGTCTTGATCAAGCATTCAGTTTGAAGCTAAAAGAACGTAGATTAATCCACTGTTATTGATAATAACAATAAACGGCCGGAACATTGTTAAAATCGCATTTAATCGCGGAATACCACTATTTTTTTGAACGGTGGCGCCATCCGTGGCGAATCGGTGAAACTGCTAACCAATTAATGGCTAGCAGTTTCAGCGATTCGCCACGGATGGCGCCACCGGTCGAAAAAATAGTGGTATTCCGCGATTAAATGCGATTTTAACACTGTTCCGGCCGTTTATTGTTATTATCAGTAACAGTGGATTAATCTACGTTCTTTTAGCTTCAAACTGAATGCTTGATCAAGACGTAACTTGTCCATAGAACGTTGGAAGAGCTATTCAAAGTGAACTCAACGGGGTACACAAGGAGAGATACAGTGTCAACCGTTGTAAACAAATGCGATTTTAACAATGTTCTTGCGATTACTCGTTTCCAGCCGTTACAGAATAGTAATCTACGTTCTTTAAACGGTGTATCTAATGCAAAACGAAGAAGAACCATGCCCGTTTAGCGGTGTAAATGCGTTCGAAATCTTTGCAATTACGGTTGCCGCCTCATAAGGGGCTTGGGTAATACAGGCATAATTAATTTTACTAACTCAGGAGTTCTGCACTATTGGGTCCATGCATTAAGTCCTGAGGAACAATTTGAGACTAATGGCGTTCATTTTGAATGCTTAATTACTGAGATATTCGCATTTTTCTAACATTAAAAATTTTCACTCACCTGTCGGTATGATTTGGCTAGCAGTTTGAGCGAAATGCCACGGGTGGCGCCACCATTCAAAAAAATAGTGGTACTCCGCGATTAAATGCGATTTTAACAGTGTTCCGGCCGTTTATTGTTATTATCAATAACAGTGGATTAATCTACGTACTTTCAGCTACAAAT